AGAAGAAGAAGAAGAAGAAGAAGAAGAAGAAGAAGAAGAAGAAGAAGGCGGCAGGAGGGAAGCAGCCCATACCAAACATTTACAATGAAGAGAGATCAGCATCTATGTCTTCAATATAATTACTTCGTGTTTTGAGTTAATAATGGTCAATTTACACTCAAAATTATTTACATTGAAGTTCCAAACTGCTTATATTTTAAATGCTGAAAGCAATCCTTCCAACCTCATTGTAAATGTAATAATTGGGATTAACTTTTTTATTCCTGACTGAAACAACTATATTCTGATTATATGATTGGTTCACTTACTTTCAAGGACTTGAAGTCTGGCTTTTTTTTTTTTTGAGACAGGGCTTCTTTGTGTAGCCTTGGCTGTCTTGCACTTGCTTTGTAGACTAGGCTGGCCTTGAATTCACATCCTCTGCCTGCCTCTGAGTGCTGGGATTTAAAGGTGTGTACCACCACACCCAGCTGAGTCTGGAATTATGTACAGTAGGACCAGCATTATCTCTCAAAACAAACTATAGCAATGAATAGATAAAATTAAACCCATTAAGGCTACATTGAAACTGCTGCAAATCTGTACTCATTTTTTAAGATCACATAGTACTTCCACACTTAATAGCATGAAATGCACAGGCCACAATTGTGTGAGGACCGCAAAAAGTTAATTCTTACCCCCAAAAAATAGTTAATTTAAAAACTAATTTCTGAAGAAAAACCATCTTCAAAAGTTCATTCAAAATATGGCTATTTCAAAGAAGCAAATATCTTAACTTAAAAAAATAGTTCAGAGGCCCCTCATTGTTCTGTGCGAGTACCTGAGTGGGCCAGAACCAGCGCTTTACGGCTGACCTACATTCTGAGACACACACACACACACACACACACACACACACACACAATGCTGCTGCGGCTATTATTCTTTTTACATATTTGGGCACTGCAAGCCCAGAGGATCTAAGCAACTTGGTCGTCACTCTCAGAGTACACAGTGTTCAAAATCCCTACTTTTACTAATGAAAACAAACGATGTATGTGAGAAAGCATTCACATGTGACTACACCTATGTGAAATCACTCAGAAGCAATCACAGAAATGCAAGCTTCTCTGAAGCGCACAGTAAGAAGTTCCTGTTTTTATCCTGAATGTCAAGATCTCACCGTTACTTCTCCACAAATGGATTTTCTAACCATCAGAGAAATGCTGTGATAAAACCATGACATATAAAGATGGTTCCTCTAGTAGTTCATCTGAGGTTTCTTTCCTTTTGTATACTATCCATAAGCAATAATGGATCTATTTTTATCACAATCTATCTTTTAAGTAAACTCAACACTACAAAGAAAAGCATATTTTGAGTAAAACAAAAGTATAGTGTGACCTCTAGTGGAAACATGGTTTATTTCATTACAAACATCATCTCTTGATGGGGGAGGAGGGGAGTTTTTTGTTGGATACATACGTGCCTATACACCCAGCTCTTGGAAGTGAGGCAGGAAAACTGCAAGTTCAAAGGCAGCTGGGGCTCTGGAGTGAGACCCTCTCTTTAAAATCCAAATATATTTAAAATAACCTCAATTCTATTATACCAACACATCCTCCAAGAAGTCAAAGCTAGAGCAAACCACATCAACATCAAAAGCACAACCAGGAGACAGAGATTACAAAACACTTTAGCCAACATGCTGGAGAAAGACACAAACACCAATCTCACAATCTATGTTGGAGAAGAAAAGGCATGTGTAATGGGGAAGAAGAGAGAGAAGAATCAGGAGATGGGGCAAGAACACAGAAGATACCATTCAGGTGGGAAATAACGGCAATCCACCTTTCCAGAAGAATGTGAACCCAAAAAGAGATGCTTTTTAAAAGATCAAATTTCTGACCAGATAATTGGCTGAGTCTCCAGCCTTTACCATTTCTACAAACCAGTCTTCAGATGGGCTCATCTCATATTAACAGGGCTCTAAATCCACTGCCATGCTTATAGAACATAGGCCAGAATCACCCCTCTCCTAGCCAAATCCATAGTAGTCTGCATTGGCAACAGGATTTCTTACTCCTCTGAAGCAAGCTAACACAGATTCATCTGCCATCTGACTGCTACATGAAGAACAAGCTGACTGGGGGTTTAACCTCAACATTCAAAAGAAGACAGCAGCCTGGGAAACTCTTTCCAACCTTTGTGCAGTCTACAAAGGAAAGCAACAGATGTTACCAAAAGATTTAAATAATCATCTTGAGGAATACAAACTGATGGGCAACATTTGGACTTCATCAATACCATGCCATGCATACATGTTTCTTCACACACACATGCGCACGCGCGCGCACACACACACACAAAACCTCCCTTTAGAGCCAACATACAAGACAGCCTCAAAACACCACTTTTCCCACTCCCAAAATAGCCCTAAAGCGAATACTAATGGTTCCATGCAGACACTGAAACTTGGCCAGCCTGACAACACTCCTTACTCCCTGACAACTAGCTGGCCCAGGTCTGCTCCTCTAATCCAGCAGAAAACACCTGCAGGGCAGGAACCCTGTGTGCCTCATTCATCTTTGTATGCCCACAGTGCTATAATCAGCACAGCAAAGCAGTGTGCCAAAGTGGTAAACTATAGAAGACTGGGAAGGGGACACAGATATAATTAGGAAAATAAATAAATGTGGCCAATCAAAAAGATCATATGCTCACTTAAAACAGAGATTTTGTGTGATTTTTAAGATTTTATTTATTATACACAGATATGTGTGTGTTGGGATATGCAGAGGCAAATTACAGGCAGCTGGGAACTAAACTCAGTCCTCTGTAAGACTTTACAGGCTCTTACTGGCTAACCCATCTCTCCAGACCCTTGTGTTACTCAACCGCCAGGTTCTCTAGAGTGACCTTTATAAATCATATGTCTTGAGGCAATGCTAAATGGTTGACTACCACCGAGCACAGTTTCATAGCGCAGTCTGCAAATGTTCTGGTTCCTAATCTTCCTAAAGCGGGTAAGAAATACACAGCTTAGAGGCCATCTGTGTATGTATCACCTTTTCATGAACAGTTTATACTCCAACTTCCTCATCCGAACGAGGCTGATAAGAAGCATCCTTTAAATTAGAATATCTCTTTAGGCTGACTCACTACCCAGACCACTTAAGGTTTAGCTACTAATACTGCCAAAAGAACTACTATTATAACGGTAAGGCTCACCAGCCCTGCAGAAGAGACCTGGGAATAAAAGAAATTAGCGTAGGGGAGGCCAATGGGTGACCAACCTTCTCTGTAATGGGCCATAAAGTACTGTACATATTGTACAGTTTGTAGATCAACATACTTAGAGTAACTACTAGCCCTTAAAAGATAGCGGGTTTGTTTATTTGGTCGGTTTACATTTTACATCTTATAATCAAACTTAGCTCAACCTGGACTTGGCCCTTCTTTGCCAGCCGGATAGGATGATAATGATGTTGCCTCATTCGGTACTTTTTAGAGGTACCAAGAATGTCTGTGAGTCGACTAACGTTTACTGAAAACGTGCTGCCCCGAACCTGTAAAACCTTGCCCGAGGCTTGGCGTTCTCTAGCCTAGCAAACTCCGGCGGCCCGCGCCCTGGAGTACCTCCCACACTTACTCCCAGGAGCGGCCCGCGGCCTATCACAGTCTGCCCCGGCCCCACGGGCACGCGAGGACCGCCGTCCAGAGGCTGCAGAAAGAAGTCTGAAGACATGGCGGTAAGAGCAGCTTCCTTCGCAAGGAGACAACCTCGCAGCCACTTCCCGCAGACACGCGGGGCATGTCCTGGAGGGGTGTGAGACCAGAAGCTCCTTCTCTAGTGAATGCGCCTCTCCCTTTCCGGAACCACCACTCCACGCGAGCCAGTGACTCAAGCAGGGATTCCCTCTCAGCTCAGTGACAAACTGCTGCTTAACTAAACTAGAGGGCACACCCACACTCTCCTATCGTTTCCTCCCACAGGACTCATGGAACGTTGGGTCTTGTAGTCCTTGACAGCCCCCTTCCGGAGCGCAGACCTCATGGGGGAAAACTACGAATCCCAGAAGGCAATGCGAACGTCTTTGCGCCTGTGTGGATTCGCGCTGGAGCAGGGGGGTGGAGTAGTCCTGACGTCATGACCTATGGAGTTGGTAGGCTTGAGTGTTTAAATAGTGCTTAAACAGTACTTCCAGGGACCTCCCGAAAAGAGGAAGTTCTCTTCCGTCGGAGTGTGCTGTGTGTATACGTTCCTAGGACCCCCTTCTCTCTGTAAGGACAAGGTTTGACTGGAAAAAGGCCCCAGTGGCAGGACTGTCTTCTCTACCCCAAGGTGGAGTTCTGGACTTAGATTTTTAGGGTTCAGCCCTGGGAAGATATTTTTTTTCCCTGTGCAGCAGCCCCATGCTCATTCAAGGATCTGCAGCCAGTGGGCTTTCTCTTTTTTAAGGCAGAAACCTGACTGAAGCATATGGCCCATCGGGCCAAAGAATCTTCCTTCTCTATAAAGGAGGCCTGTTCCCTTGCTGGAATCTGTACCAGGCCTCCCTTTGGTAAAGGCCAAGCTTGAGGAAAGTGAATCTATGGTGGTTGGGTTAGGTGCCGGCAGGGAGAAGGGGAGGAGTCACCCTTCCTATGGAGAAGCCAATTGCTAAGCACGGCTCCCAACTAGAGGGAGCTTTCTTTTGGAAGAAGCCTGGCCCAGGGTTTGCCATTGCCCTGTTACAATCTTTTTCTTTCTTGTGGCTGAGAACAGACTCAGCAAGGCCTTGTGTCCTGAGGGCTTTCTTTACCGTATTGAGGCTTGAGCTACAGGCAGGATTCTGCAGAAAGAGGTCTTCCTGCCACAGAGTTGGAGTCTGATCACCTGATGCCTCCTAACCAGCAGCCATGGGATTATTTTGTGCCTCGTGTTCACCTTTGAGGCCAGGTCTAGACCAGAGCACCACAGGCTGGGGCAGCTGGTCCGTAGTACCTGCATGGGAGCCCTGCATGTTGAGGGTTCTGTCGCCTCCTGGACACCTTCCAGGTAGAGAAAAGCTCCCTGTTACAGGATATTTGATCCTGTTGGGAACCCCGAGATTGTGAACTATAACAACCTGTTTCTTGGTCTGTGTGGCTCAGCCCTAAAACACACCTTTAACCCAAGAGCTAAATAAAGTTAACCCTAGGTCAAGAGGCAGAGCAAGAAACCAGCTGACAGGGATTAAGTAGAAAGGAAGGACACTGAGAGAAGGGTATTTACGACAGCATAGAGAGGAAGAAGGAGCTTTTGGCTTTTTCCTCTGGGACATGAGCTGAATAGGAAGGTCAGCTGGGTGCTTTCTCTGCCTCTTTGAGCTGATAGGCTTCCAAACCAGCATCTGGCTCCTGAGTCTTCACAATCGAACAATTGTAATCTTTCTTTGAAACAACAGCTCCCCGGAATGAAGAGGAGCCACCCATCTAGGGCAAATGCAGGGGCTGCACTACAGAGCTGCTGTTGCTGAAGGTGGTGCTGAGCCCACTGAGTGCTGGCCTAAGGCTTAAGACAGATTTCTCGGTCTTGGTCTTGGGTTGACAGACCAACTGATATCCAGAGTTTCACAACACTGAGGGAAAGGGGTCATTGGTTCCAAGCTGCTGAAAAGCAAAGGGTGACTGAGATAGCAAAGGTGGGATTCTGAAAGGGCCATGGGTGATAGCAGGGGTCCACTCAAGAGAACCTGCCCCAGGTCTCTGTGGAGAAACAGCTGCTGTTGAAGTGGGTGATTAGCAGCAGCAGCCACCCGTAGCAGGAAAGCCATGCTGTCACATGCCTGCTGCTCCATTCACACTGGGCTCTCGATCACCACCAGGTGAGCTCCCACAGGGCCCCAAAGAGACAAAACAGGCTACACACACAGAGCCGCTTGCTTTTGAAATCAGCATGCATTTGCAACAGGGTCATGGGAACTGAGCTAACCTCCTTTGTTATACTACACTTTAATGAAGCCACTGGCTGGGGAAGGAGGGACTTGAGAGGTGTAGTCCCAGTGAAGATTCATGGGAAGTAGGGCCTAGCTGAGACGGGATCTTTAGTGACGGAAGAGGATCACTGGGAGAGTCTTGGGCTTGCACAGAGAAACTGCCATGGGTACTAGGTGGCTTTACTGTGACACGGCTGCGATGGCGCTGTTCGGAAGACTGGGTCTTTGCTTTTCGTTTCCTAGCTGAGAGAAGACAGGTGAGTGAGCGATGGGCCCATGAACCCTTACCCATTGCTTGCCTATATGTTCATCACCTGGGATGCAGTCACTAGCACCTACTGCTTGGCTGGCTCTTCCTGTGACACCTCAGAGCAGCCAGCTGACATTTGCCTCACAGAGAAGGAAATGGTCTCACAGATGTTAAGCAACTTGTTCCTCGAGACAGAGGAAGCTTAGTCGGGGTACTATAGACCTTTTGAGCCAGGTGTTCTGACCCCAGAAACCACGCCTAGTGTTCAGAGGTCGCCCTCAGAGCTCTCAGTGGTCATCTTTTCTGACCTCAGCTCTGCTGTTTCTGTTGGATGGTGTGATCTGCGTGGAAGACTACTTCTGGAATCTCTTCAATGCGTCAAGAGTAATTGAGATTGGTACTCAGGATAAAGGGCCCAAGTCCAGGCGCTGTTTATGGAAGCTGTTTCAGAAGCCGCCAGCGACTGCTGCCAAGAGCAGTTGTGCTCAAAGCAGCAGGGTCAAACAGCCCAAGGTCACCTCTGTAGATGGAAGCCCCTCTGAAGGCTCTGCTGATATCTGCCCAGGGGAGGTCACTAAGGTGGAAGATGAACCTTTAACCCGCTTCATTAACCCTGGACTCCAGTTGATGTGAACTTGCTGTTTTCTGTAGACGCCAGAAGGTCTTACCCCTGGGGAATCTGGGATTTGTGACCACTTCTCCCTCTCTGGAATATTCTTCTTCCATAGCCCCTGGTCCTATCTTGTAACATGTATCCAGGGTCTGCTTGCCCTAGTGGCCTGTGTTGTTCAGCTCTATTGCCAGTAATAAAGGAAAGGGCACCAGGCCCCACCGGGAGAAGAAACACAAGATTTACCGCCACTCTGGAATCCAGATAAGATACAACATGCCACACACGATAGCAAATGGCTTCTCCTCCAGGATCCAATTACTGATTGGGGTCCCCCCTCTCTTCTTTCCTAAGATTTTGGAGTTTTGAGGAGAGTTCACTTGGAGGCAGCTTCCCAGAATGAGAATCATAGGACTGTTGAACATCCTCCTTCAGCCCACATGTATGATTACAGGGCAGAAAGTCACCCATGCGTCTCCCTCTGCAGAGAAAAAGTGTCCTGGATGGTGTTTTAGAAGCACACATATGTCTGTGTGTACCTCTAGGCAGAACATTCTGAGGAAGGATGGTGTCCCCATACCCCGTTCCAGGACATGGCAGCATCAGCTAGCCTCTTCACAGAATAGAGAACTCACCCAGGCACGTGGCTCATGTCTGTAATCCCAACACTTGAGAGGATGAGGCATGAGGACCAGGTGTGCGAAGTCAGCCTCAGCTATAGAGCAAGTTCAAGGCCACCTGATTCTACATGCGACCCTGGCTAAACATAGAAAAATAAAATGGAGCACTTGGAGCCATTCAGGTAGGCTGTCACGTGCACGTACTAAAGGACTTTCTCCTTCCTTAAGAATCCACAGCGAGGTTTGACCTGAGGCTCTGCAAATATGGAGATTCCATATTCTGAACATAGCGTGTCATTGCTGCCATCTTCTATGTGAGGCTGCACTAATTATTTAGAAGATACCGAAGTAGAAAGTTAGGCTCATTCTGTCATTTCTAGGGCTCATAGAGAATTGAGGTGTAGGCAGCCATTTCTACTAAACCACACAATCAGAAATTGCTATGAAGCTGTGTCCAGATTAGTCATAGAAATTAAAGACAAAATGCAACATATGTCAGGACCACTTAACCAACAAAAGAGTATAGAATATCAAAATGTGTGCACCTGTTAGTCTTCATGTTCTAGTCCTGTTACATCTCCCAGCCATTTGCTGTCGTGTGTGGCATGTTGTATCTTATCTGGATTCCAGAGTAGCAATCAATCTTGTGTCTCTTCTCCCGGTGGGGCCTGGTGCCCTCTCCATCATTACTGGCAATAGAGCTTAAACAACGCAGGCCACTAGGTCTGCCAGTGCTAAACACCCCCAACGGGCCCGAGCTCTGCTCGCCAGCAGTGTCAGGAGGCTTGGTGCAGGGTGGCACTAGCTTACCAGTTGCAGACTTTGGAGCTGGAAGAGGGGGCAACGGGAAGTGAAGTGGGGGCTTCTTGTACAGCTCAAAGTCCACATGGCGCTGGCTCCAGCTCCACCTCTCCCGGTCCAGCGCAGGCTTCAGCTTGTTAATAAACCCCGCGCTTCCTTGCCATTCCTAAATAAGAGGAGCAGGTGAGTGAGGTGGAAGTCCCCAGGGACTTCCCCACTTGAGTCCCAGCTCCTCCCTGAAGACCTCATTTAGCTCTTTGATGAGTGGTAGTCTAAGATCCTGCTGGTGGCTTCCAGTGGTGTTCTGAAGACCCCACAATTGGAACCCACCGGCTGTGAGCCAGGCCTGGCGGGAATTCTTCTGGGCTTTCCTCTCCTCTTCCTTTAGGTCCAGGGGATCCACCATAGCTGAGAGGTAATTCTGTGAATATGTGAATCTCTTCCTTGGCTCCTAGAAGTGAAGGACAGTTCTGCTAAGAGCAGTATTAGGGCTGGGCAGCCACCAAGCTTCTAAGCAGGTAACAGAAACATCTGGAGATGCAGTGGCACAGGGTCCTGATACTATAATGCACTCAAGTTAACTAAACTCTTAAGGCAGCCCTGCGAGGGTCAGATCATTGTCCCCTTTGACAGAGGAAATAGTTTTCTATGTGACATAGGTGCTAAAAGCCTAAACCAACAATTTTCTCATGGCTATCACCATAGCAACACAGTGCTCCCGAGAACAGCTTCTGTCCTCTTTTCAACCGTGTGTGTCTGAGCATGTGCTAAGCCCCTCTGGCTCTCTCTATAGCATGGTGGAGTCACACTCTTCTCCTATAATCTGCTCTTTTGTCCACTGTCCATAAATGATTGGCTTCAGCCAACGCCCTTGATAACCCTTGGTCAGAGAAAGAAAATCTCGTACGTATGGCAGATTGAATGAAAATGGCCCCCACCATCTCATAAATCTGAATGCTTAGTCACCAGGAAGTGGAATTGTTTGGGAAGAATTAGGAGGCGTGCTCTTGTTGGAGGAGTTGTGTAACTGGAAGGTGGACGTGGAGGTTTCCAAAGCCCACACCAGGCCCTGTGTCTCTCTCCCTCTCCCTGGTGCTACCTGGAGATCAGGATGTAAAGTTCTCAGCTACTGCCCCAGCACCACGTCTGTCTGCTTCCCAGCATGATAACCACAGACTAACCCTCATCCCCCAATTAAATGCTTTCTTCTAAGAGTTGCCTTGGTCACGGTGTCTCATAGCAGTAGAACAGTAATTAGGACAGAGTGTTAGCCAGCTGCCTTGGCACTCACCTTGGCCATCTCTTTAAACATCTCCTTCTTAGCAAGCTCTGTGGAATTCAGGGTCTGGATGCTGTAGTTGTGGACAACGTTGTTCTCAGGAATGGGAATTCTAATTGCTGCCGTTGACTTTAGAGGCTTCTTGGGGAATTGATAGGCTTCTGTGATATTTTTCTGAGGAGAGAGATGGCAGCCATCACCTACACCAGTCCCTTTCTCCTGTGCAGTAGGTGTCCTCTGACATAGAGCCATGGTGCAGAAACCAACCAAAAATTCTTGAGCACCCACGGACTTTCTAATCCCACAGCCATGACAAAAAGCCATCTAGCCCAGCATGTCACTACCCAGGGCAGAATTTGAAGGAGCAACATCTTGACACTTCCCGATGACACTGAGCCACTATTCTTCCATCCACTTAGTAACACAGATAAAAATTTACATCCAAATGGTCAGAAGTATGGGGCACCTTCATGGTATGAACAGGGGACACGGTGTCCTAAGGCCACAGGGATAGACATCATTAGCTACGCTGACTTTCAGTGTTAGGTTACATGAGGTATGGCAGGGGGCGGGGATTCTACAGCAAGCCTGGTAAGGAAACTGAGGACTGCTCCCTCTTCAGAAAGGATGCTAATGAGATAAGGTGGCTTTAATTGTGAGTTTCCTAGGGAAATAAAAATAACTTGAACATGGTGTTTGCACCTGTAAAGTCAGCACTTGAGGGGCTGAGGCAGGTGGGCCATGCATTTGAGGCCAGCCTGAGCTACATAAAGAGACCCTATCTAAAATAAAACGGAAACAAGATCTGGGTACATAGTTCAGTGGCAGAGCCATTGCCTGGGATGCACAAGACCCTGGGTTCAATCCTCTTTGTGTTTTCTCTCATGGTCCGGTTTCCTTCTGTGCTGCTTAGATGACCTATGATACCCATGGCCTTAGCAGCTTACACAAGACAGTTTATAACAGTTCTTCTAAAAGAAACCCTAAGGCTGTGGTGGGTACCCTACGCCTAAGCTTGCTCTTTCTCATATTTTAGAAGGGCAGTCAAGGTAAGTGGGACTGGAAACAAATGCTTTGGCATAATGCAGCCCTGCCCGCGTCCTGAACCAGAGGAGCGAGTAGAGATCAGAGGCACCTGGCCTGTATCCCTTACTAGGGACCAGAAGCCACAGCGGAACCTGGGAGCCCCAACATGGAGTGCAGAGGGAGTGCCACCTTGACAAGGCTCCCCCTGTGGGCTTGGTTCTTCAGCAGCATGTTGTTCCGCCAGTGCAGGTACTTGTCCTGGTGGGTTTGGATCTCCTGCGGGAGGGTAGAAATCCGACGTTGGACATTCTCCTCACTGGGAGCAGGTGGGGATGATCTGGCCATCTGCTTTGCATCTCCGAGTTCTTCCTGAGAAATGGGTATTCCAAACCCTAGGTTCAGGTCTTTAAGCATGGAGGAAGAAGGCAGCAGATCCCTTACAATAACCTCCTTGAGCCTGGTGCTGTTGTGACAGATGTCATGGATCCTGAAATGAAGAATGGCCGGCCACTCAGCCTCACCTGTATCACCTCATCTCACAGCAGAAATGAGGGTTCGGGTTGACTAGTGGTGCCAGAGTTAGATTAGGCTGGACTCCTGACTTTCTCCTTTCCTCCAAGCCTGCTAAAGCTCGGAACTGCCCGCAATATGCACTGAGTGATTTTTCTGTGACTGCGACTTTAGCCATAGTCTTCATCAGTCCCACACCCTCTAGGGAGCTGCCCCAACATGCCAGCTAGCCCTCAGCAGGTACATCTCAGGGTCCTCCTGCGTCGGAACGGGTGATGGGTCACAGCTCACTCCTGCACAGAGCTTGAGACCCTACCTCCCAAGCCCCAGGACTTCACTTTGCTAGCAGTGGCCACACCTAGGGGGGCCTGTGGTGGACCCAGGACCCACACTGACACTATCTGAGAACTGGGTGCTGCTCACTGCCCCCACTGAAGCGAAGTATATTACTGAATCAGTGGACTCTTTCTTACTGGGCCTTTTTGAACCTCTGCTTCCTCAACTGTCAGAAACAAAGACAAGACACAGTCACTGTGGTTGTAGAACTATATTAGTCATTTTTCTTGCTGCTGTTATCAAAATATCTAACAAGAAACAACTTAAAAGCGGAGAGTTTGGTGTGGCTTTCAGTTGAAGGGGATACATCCCTCACGGTTGAGAAGGCACGGATAGTAAGAGCATAAGGTGACTGGTCATCCACAGGCAGGAAGGAAAGAGAAATGAACTCTGCCATAAGCTTTCTCTCTTTTTATTCAGTCCAGGACCCCAGCCCATGAAGTGGTACCACCCACCTTCAGGGCAAGTCTGCCTTGCTTGGTTAAATATTTTTGGAAAAAAAAATCCTTACAAGTACACTGAAAGCTGTTTCCCTGGTTATAACAGCATGGTCTGGTGCTTTGTGTTTTATTGTTAACTAATTTGCTCTCCAAGGCCTGCTTGTTGTCTTTTATGAACAGACACTCATGTACCCCAAAATGATGTTTGTAACCTTGCCTAAGAAATTATTCCTGATTGGCTGATTAAAAGGCCTAAAACTGGGCAGGGCAGAATGGGGTAGGTGTAGCCTAAGTTTGTGGGCTTTGAGGAGAGGAGGCTCATGGGAAGGGAAGGAGGAAGGTATCAGAGGAGAAAGGAAGCAGAGGGCCGATGGATGAGCATAGAGAAAGCACATGGCTGGTCAGCATGGATGGAGGAAACTGGCCTAAATGCAGAACATTAATAACTACTTTGGGATTGTGGGTGGGAGGAAGCCCAGATAGGAATGATTAAAGCAGATGGCCTGAGAGGGGCCTTAGAAGTGATAAGGAGAGTTTAGGGGGGTAATATCTGCCCAGTCCCAGGTGAAATAAGGCATTTCTAAAATCTATCAGCTATCTGTGTCTTTTATTGATTGTGATAGCGGGTTAGATAAAACCACCCTAAAAATTATAAGGCTAAAATAATCATTAATAGCCCAAGACCATTTCTTTTTGCAATACCTGATGGCTCTAAATACCACTACTTTGACAATCAAATTAACTCTCACAAGTCCCACCCTTTTAAACTTGACTGTTAAACACATCATTTAGAAATTTAACATACTACTTCTTCATCCTAAAGTCTTATTTTTATCTCATAACCTAAAATACATATAGTACAACTCTAAAAGTCCCCATAGTGTTTAAAGGTCCTAGAATTATTCAAAAGTCCAAAATCTAAAGCCTTTTCTGAGGCAATCTCTTACCTGTGAGCTCCTTACAAATAAAAAATAAGTTACATGATTCAAACATATAATGACACAAAATAGTATTCCCATCCCAAAAGGATGGGACCAGACCAAAGCAATCCCAAACCCAACAGAACCAACACCACATCCTGAAGCTCCATATCTGGCATCTGAAACTTGTGACAGAATCATCTGGGCTCCAAACCTTCCAGCTCTGCCTCCGGCAGCACATGGGAGGTCCTGGGCGGATCCCACTCTGCACCCAGATCTTTCTTAGCTGATATTCTGTGGTCCTGACATCTCTAACATCCCAAGGTCTCCACTGAAACTTAGACTTTACCTTTACAGCTTCATGTTGTGGCCTTTCAGGATCTCCTTGCAGGAACTCCCAACCCTGCCATGTATTGTCCAGCCTTGCTGGCCTTCAAGAATCTTATGACAAGCCTCCATGACTCCATTACTCTTGCATCTTTAATGCCTGCAAATCCAGTACCACGTGGACAAGTGCTGCCAAGTTCTGCCAGCTCAAGATGTAACCTGGCTCACTTGGACCACAATTGCATCGGGCCCTGTTTGCTGACCCTGGAGGGCAATGCTACCCTGACACTCTTCCGTGGTATTCCCAGATTAGGGCCTTGCCCTTACATTTCCTCAAGATGGATGTCCCACAGGCTGGGTCTGGCCCTCCGGGTTTTTTTCTATTTCTCTGTAATGGAGCTAATCTTTAATAATTACAGCTGTTTTCTCAGCCATCCTGCCTGCCACTTAAAACGAGTTCTTTTCCCAGACCAAATAGCACATTTTCATCTTTCTGCCCCATTTTTACTCACCTTCTCCTCTCCCTTTCCCTCTCTGTTTCTCTCCCCCCACTCTCCCCGAATCAGAACCAAAAGCAGTGACTATAACAATGCCTGAATGCTATCCCACCCTGGGTTTTTCTCTGCCAAGCAAAGTAGCCCATTACGATTTTTGTTTGGCCTCAGTCAGGATCTCAGAACATTGCCAGAATGCAGCCAGACTCTTCGCCTGCATATAAAATGAATAACCTCTAGCACAGGAGAGTCCTTGTTTCTGTCTAAAACCTTACCAGCCAGGCCTCAACTGTTGGCATTTCTCTCGGCTTCCTGGACTTCCAAATTCCTACTAGATTGGCTTATTAATCTGTCTGCCCATGAAATCCTGTGGTTCTCTATACCCCAAGCTCTTCCACATTCTTCGCAAGGACATGTGGATGATGTGTTCATGTTTATCACAGAGACAGCCTCGCTTCTCAGTACCGATTTTCTGGTGCCATTGCTGTGGTCAACCCCTGACAAGAATTAACTTAAGGGAGGAAGCCTTGATTCGGCTTACACTTTGAGGGGATAGGTCCGCCATGGCAAGGAGACTGGCCATGTCGTGCCCACAGTCAGGAAGAAGAGAATAAAAAATGGTGCTCCTCAACTCACTTGCTCCTCTCTATTCAGTCTAAGACCCCAGCCCACAAGGTGGTACAAGCCACATTCAGGACGCATCTTCACTGATCAGTAAACCTATCTGGATACCATAATAGATGCATTCAGAAGTGTGTTTCCATGGTGATTCTAAATTCCATCAAGTTGGTAGTTAATATCAACAACCACTTGGCAAATGCCTTTAATCCCAGCACTTAGAAGGCATGGACAAGAGGATCTCTGTGAGTTCTAGGACAGCCTGGTCTACATCGTGAGTTCCAGGATAGCTAGGACTACAGAAAAACCTGTCTCTAAAAAAATTGAGCATCACAAGCACCTAATACAAAAAGTATTTTGTGACCAGTGGTTCCCTCCAAATATATATTCCCCAATTCTATTTAGCATCATCTACCAAAACAGACAGTCAAGCCTTTGCCTCTAACACCCAAATGTCAGAGCTCCTATCCCAGACCCTTCCATGACCATAGGACAAAAGTGAGAAGCAAGCAAAAGCCTTCCATGCCCTGAGCTCTTGTTCTATCATTTCTCTTCCTCCTGAACTCGTAGTCTCTTAATTCTTTGTTCTCTTTCTGCTTCACTAACCCAATAGCACTAGCTGAGGTCAGATTTTCCTAAAAGTAGAGATCACAGCCTACCCCACGCCTGGGAGAGGCTATAAGAGTACTGGCCAGTGGCTCCTCAAGGTCAATCTTTTCTGCCTTCCCAGATGCCCCACTGCTCTCTTGCCCCAAGGGATACACAGGGACTGCCCACGCACCTCCCCTGCACCCTTAACCCTCATGCCCAGTTCCTTTCTGAACTGGGGTCTCACCAGGTTCCAGCACCTCTCAGCCAGTGGTCTGCAGAGGGATGGGGAAGTCCTCAGGACACCTGGGACAAAGGCAAGGCTGACAGGCAGAGCATAGCAAAGGGGACATTTATTGCAAGAGCTGGCTCTTTGGCAATAGGATTTCTTGGCCCTAGAGAGGGCTGAGACAAAGGGAAGCCCTGGGCCACAGGAAAGGCTTGGCTGACATTGCAGCCCATATCCCCAGTTCTCACTGGAAATTATGCTTTGCCCCGCTGCTTCCTCCTCAGGTCCTTCTAGAATGTTCCCGGGGGGCAACTCAGCAGAGTTGCTCAGTCTGTTGTCCAGTCCTCTTTCAGCTAACGTGTTCTGATACATTTCAGGAGAACTGGCATCTGCTTCTCCTGGAGCCTGGGAAGCTCAGGACATTCTTGTCTGCTGTCCCTATTGCCCACTTGGCCTCCAGATAGTGAGATGTCCCTGGTGTCCCAGCCATACTTACTTGGTCAGTGCCTTAAAGGCTTTGCGTGGCACAGCCCCTCGAATATAGAGCGCTGGGTACCTCAGGAGCATCGACACAGGCCTGAACAAATGTATGTGGTACAGGAGGGTCTCCAGGTCAGCGTACATGCGGTCATGGAAGAGCAACCTGGAGTCATACAGCACCTTGCAGGCCTCACGATTGGAGGTGGTGACCCTGGGAGGAAGGAGAATTCACATTGCCCACGGATCCTGGGAATACTTGATAGCTTCGTTCTGTCTAGCAGGGATTTTCTTTTACACTCGTTGGTTTTAAAAGCAGTGACTAGAATGTCAAGGTAATAAATGAGCTTGGTACCCAACATGGGATCCTGAAAGGACTAGCAGCCAAGGCCAGCTGTCCCCATTCCTGCTCCTTTGTCCCTCCCTGACCTGGGATCACCTTGGTACTCTAGCAGTAGCAACCTGGCAGGGTTCTTAGATACAGCCTACCCTATGATGCTCGGGGTACTGCTCCTACATGGTGAAAGTTGATGAGCTCTGTGCCCAACCTCCTGTTCCCTCGGGAACTTCTCCCTGATCACTGTAGTTCCTGCTTTGTGAAGAACTCAGGTCATTTGCCAAGCCTCCACTCAGATGTTTGCCTTGCTGTCAGACTGTTTCATAAGACTTTCATTTCCAGCCTTTCTTGCCATCTCAGGATTCCTTCCTACACTCTTTCGTGTTACTGAGTGAGGGACAACAGGCCATGAACACACCATACTCAACACTGACTTTTTTTTTTAATGCGGCCAAGATTGCCAACTTTGTTCCATGTACTGCAAATGTTTTCAGTTTTTTGCTTGCATTTTCAAAATTTTTATGGTTTTTTGGTTGAACAAAAATTACTCCTTTTAATGTAGCCAAAAATGGACCATTCTTGCTCTTATTCTTTATGTTATACTGGAGAAATTTTTCTCTAGTTTGATATCATGAGGGTGTTGTCATCTAGAATTTTTATATTTTTGCTTCTCAAAAATAGATTTTTAAAAACTATGAGCATGACAGTTCATATCTGCAGCCTTAGACCTCGATTGATGCAGACTTAAAGACAGCCTAAGCTCCCAGGACAACCTGGGCTACAAGGTGAAACTTTCTCTCTTTCTCTCTTTTTAAAGATCAGAGCCTTCTAGTCCAGCTGATTGTGCTCTATCAGTCAACAAGGCATTGGGATTATAGAGATGCTGCCAAGGGCTCCCAGCTACTATTTTTGCAATTTGTAAGTCCTTAATTATTTCCAAGTTCACAGTTTAAAAAGAAGTGTTTCAGTCTACCTGCAATTGAGTCTCATGAACTGTGTGAATGAGCACATTCAGAACCCCTCAGTGCATCAGGAATAGGAGATGCTTCCTCCAACTGACAAAGAACGTAGAGAAATGCCTGAGTCCGAGGATCATGTGTAATAGAGAAAGATTAAATGCCGTCCGCCAGTGAACAGCAAAATGAGGCTGTCTATACTCACCACTCACAAAAGAAGAGTGATGCAAGTCCTACCCAGTACAGCTGAAAACAAAAGGGTGCAGACTGAAAAGGGGGAGAAGTCACCCCTCTTTACATGATGTCCTATGTAGAAAACACCATAGAATTTACAAAAACAAGCAACTCCTTCACCCATCAAGTTTATCAGCTTATAAAAATCAGTTTTGCTTCTGCAAACGATCAAAAAATATTTGAAATTTTCTTTTTTTCTTTCTTTTTCTAAGACAGGGTTTCCCTGTGTAGCCTTGACTGTCCTGGACTCACTTTGTAGACCAGAGTGCCCTTGAACTCACAGAGATCCACCTGCCTCTGCCAGGCATGCGCCACTGTGCATGGATTAATGTCATAATAGGATGGAACAAATTTTTGGTTACCAGAAATTAAGGACAGTTAATTAAGAAGGGCAGGCTTTGTTACCATGGCAATGGGAGGAAAATCTTTGAGGTGACACAAATAATTCTGTCTCTTAGTTGCAGCAGCTGCATTATTCTCTGCGACAGACTTCCTGTGCAGCGAGCCCACATGGCACTGTCCGAATGTTGGGTTATACATCACATCAGAGGGACGCGTGTGAGGGGTACAGGCAACCTCTTGGTCATAGTTTAGAGTATGTATAATTGTTACATACTCAAAATCGTTACACTTGTTAATGTATAATTATCTCAAAACAAAAGGTTTAAAACCTATATAGAGAGGATAGGGAGTTGGCTCTGTGGTTAAGAGCACTCACTGATCTGGCAGGGGACCCAAGTTCGGTTCCCAGAACACATACAGTGACTCACAACCAGCTGGAACCCCAGTTCTAAGGGACACAGCGCCCTCTTCTGCCCTCCACAGGCACTGCACACACAAGGCACACAGCCGTGCATGCAAATAAAACATATATAAAGTGAAATAAAATAAATTTAATAAAAATAGTGAGTCATTTTTTTAAAACTACATAGATTTTTTTTTAAAACTACATAGATTTTTTTAATTGGCTGAATTTATTTTTATGAATTGCTTGAAAGGAAATTACTTTTCTTTTTTTCCCCCTATGGAGAAAAAAAAAATTGTCCAAACACCATCTATTTAAAAATATCCTTTTCTACTACTTTTTATTTGCTACAGACCCTTGTTTGTTTGTTTGTTTGTTTGTAAACTGGCTCTGGCTCTGTAGCCACATTACACACCTCCCTGCTTGTCACACTGCATTCCATATTATACACTATGCGACAGGCCACATTTTGATGATCAGCTGAAGGAAATTCGGTTCCTGGATTTTTATTATATGCTGTATATACTCTATATTCATGTACAGATTTTGGTGTGGGTATAAATTCTTGGCTGTCTCGGGTCTATGTCTAAAGAGAAGCCCTGCCTCTCTCTGGGGTGTCTCAGCTTGCCAGCACATTGGGACAGGCCCCAAGGTGGTATAGCCCCATGTTGCATAGACAGGGACAACTCTGGCCTCTTGCTGTTAGCACATGGGGTCCGGGGCCCTGGAATCTGCCCTCCCACTAAAGGAGATCCTATCCCTCCAACAGTTAAACCTAACTTGCTCAGAGCCCTCTCTCTGTTCTAAATCACCCTAAATCTGTTTCATTTGTAAAAATTATGCATCGTTATTACATGCACCACAGCATGGCATATGCGTGGAGATCACAGGGCAACTTTGTAGAGTCAGTGCTTCCCTTTCACTTTTATGTGAGTTCTGTGGATCCAACTTGGGGCACCACCATTACACAGAAAGCACCTACACCTGCTGAGCCATCCCACCAGCCCAATCCTAAATTCCCCCTTCCCACCATGACAGCTAGGTCTGCCTATGGTCAGTGTCTAGAGGACACTGAACCTGGCCTTGGCTTTGAAAGACCTGCGCCATTTGCCCTGTGTCCAGAGCGCCATGGCTTTCCTCTGAGTGTGACGCAGACTACCTACCAGCTCTGGTAACTCTCCCATAGCCGCTTCAGGCCATGGCACACTAGGCCTTCCAGAACGAGCAGGTGGATCTTCCCATCCAGCAGATGGAAGCCAGTGAGCACGTCCAGGTTCTGCTCCTGGTTCTTCACACGCACCCTGAAGGCCGACAGGGTCTGCTGCATGTTCTCAACGGGGTAGCTTTCCAGGTCCAGGGCTTTGGCATTGATCTTGGTGATGTCCTGCAGCAGGCTCTGTAGGAGGGATAGCTTCCTGGTGTTGAACACAAAAATGATGCGGCCAATTTGGGTCCCTATGGGGTCGAGCTCTTGGGCCATGCCCCAAATACTCAGGGGCACCGCGATGTCCACTCGAAGCTTGAGCAGAGAGTTGGCCTCCAGGTAGTTGCCCATGGGCATCGGGCTGTGCCAGAGGACATCTGTGCGGCATCGGGCTGATGTCTTTCTGTTCCTGCTTTCCTCACTCTGGTTGGCCGACTGTGGCTCACAGTTCTGGATAGGGACAGTCAGGTTCAAGTACTTATAACCAAGGAGGAGATCAGCAAAACTGACCCGGGCAACCCCATAAGGGTTCCACGTCTTGTTCTGAGACTCAAAGGGGTTATTCTCTGTGTCTTTGGGGGAGATGAAACCTTGGAGATTGATGTACGAATCCACAGGGTCCTCTCCAAACAAGGCAGGCTTCCAGGAATGCTCCTCTAACTTTCGGTCCCTGTCATGGACTTCCACCACCATGGGGGCGCCCTCCAGGTACTCCTTCACGTCACTGAAGTGCATGGCCCCGAGGAAGATGACGTTGACATCCTGGAAAAATACGTGAGTCCCATGGGGCCATCCGCTGGTCTCATGAACTGGAGTCCTGTGGAACTGGTATCTGCAGTACACAGGGTTGCACAGCCTCTGCAAGAGGGCAGGGTCAGCAGGTCACACTCTGCCTGTGTGCCCAGCAGAGCACACTCACTGCCCAAAGCCCTGCAAGCCTGAGTTGCCTCCTTCAAGCACACTAAGGAAGCCCACGCTGTTAGGTCAACATAGGCCTGCAGGCTGGGTGAGTGAACAAGACATGGGCATCACAAAACACAGACCACAGGCTAAAGGACAAGTGAGCTCCTTCCCCTCCCTTCCCAAAAAACAAGTGCCGTGGAGACAGACATAGCCTTCTGTTTACAACTCTTTCTAATTCCAGTCCTAACGCTGAGCACAGACAAGGTAAAGGGAAGTGGATTTTAGCAAAGGCAATCCTCCTGGGGTTGACTCAGTGGTGGAACAGGCTGCCATGGTCAACCAGACTTAGGAGTGGCTTTGCTGATGCTGAGGTTTGCCCTGATGCAAAGATGTCCGGCGCTTTGGCCTGGATGAACACAAGCAAAACCTAGGCTAAAAGCTTAAGAGAAGTGTGAGGAGAGGCCTGAGTCCTACCTTTCACTCCTTTGAGTTTGTTTCTGCTGGGCCAAAAGTCAAAGCCATGACCTTATATGTGCTAGGGCTCCACAAAAAGGAAGGCAAACAAAGCCAGCGTATGCCATGAGGATAAAGAAAGTGGGGGATCCAGCAGAGGAAAAGGTGGGAAGCTGGATGGGAAAGGAGCTCAGGAAGCTCAAGGGAAAGTGTGCAGAGCCAACGTCACCAGAAGCAAGCACCTGCCCGGAACTCCAGCTCGGCACCGGAGACCCAGGTGCCCAGTGGAAAAAAACCAGAGGAGACTGGTTGAAGGCAGGAGCATTAGTAAGCCATCTGGTAAGGGCTTGACAGGGCCTTTCTGTATGAGGTCTTGCTCTGACAGGTGAGTGCTCTTTCCTACGTGACTCTGTGGACAATGAAAATGACTGGAGCTCCAGGCCCCGCCTCATGCCACTCCCATCTCATCCCCACAAACTCCCTGCGCTGTGTGGAGGCTCTTCCTTCCTGGTCATGAGAACGGGAGTACGTAGAGAAGCACTTAAGACTCCACATTAAAGCCTCCGTTACAAAAGTCTCCAAATGGCAATGTGCAGAAGCGGATAGAAAATTCCAGTCACTGGCTTTTTCCTTAGTTTTGAGACAGCATCTCACTGTGTATTACAGGCCAGCCCTGAACTCGTGATTCTCCTGTCTCTGTCTTGAAAGTGATAGTATTACAGGCATGTGCCACCAAGCCAACTTCCAATACACTTTTTCTTTAATTTTTACTTAGGTGTGTGCATGTGTGTCTGAGTGATGCCCGTGGAGGTGAGAAGAAGGGATCAGACCACCCAGAGCTGGAGTTACAGGTAGTGGTAAGCCACCCCAGGAGGGTGCTGGGAACCATACTCAACACATTCATACAGAAACACAAATACACACACACAAACAAGAACACAGACACACACATACACACACATATGCAAACACACACAAATATACACACACGCACAAACACAAATACACACACATATAAACAGGAACACAGACACACAAATATTCACAAACACACACAAACACACAGACACACAAATACACACACATACATACACAAATACATGTACACACACATACACAAGCACAGATACCCACGTACATACACAGACACATACACAAATATACTCACACAAACATACATATACAAATACATGTACACAAACACACATACAAATATACACACAAACACAAATACACACACTGGTAAGTGCTTATCTACTGAGCCATTTCTCCAGCCCCACCCCTGACAACTGACTTTAAAAAAGAAAAAAAAATTTTTTTTTTCTTAAGAGGCTGGCAAGATGGTTAAGCAGGTAAAGCCGTCACCACACAAGTCTGGGACCTGAGTTCAATCCCCGGCACCCACACACGGGTGGAAGAAGAGATCACTCCACAGAGCATTCCCTGACATCCACTTGCACACTGCAGCATGTGTGTTTCCTCCCTGCAGTCACACACTAATAATAAATAAGAAAAACACAGAGGTGGAGTACTTGAAACCTTTGCCTGAGACTCTGGGTTCCATCCTTAGCATGAGGAGGCAGAAGATAGGAGGGTGGGGGAGAAGGGGAGAAGACAGAGAGGGGAGGGCACGGTGATTTGGTGATGTCTAGCCGGTACCTGGAAGACGAAACAGATGGAATATACATGGCAATAGCCTCGAACTAGAAGTTAATATGAGGAAGGAGCCAGGACCCTGGACTTCAAAGGAAACAAAAAAATCAGGCAGGATGTGTGACACAAGGGTGGGCTGGAAGCAGGGCGCCTGCAGCCTTTTTCAAAGATTTCACAGTCAACGGTTGAGCCTCACAAACATCTGTGTCCAGTTCATTGTCCAGGTGTACATTCATCAGCCACGGATTACTTTAGGATGATCATGGACTGACGTGATTGCAACTTCCTAGGAGGGATTAGAAACCGTCTCTCCAATCCTCACTCAGAGAGGCAAAGGGGACGGACATCAGAAGAGGGAAAAAACAGGAAACAGCAGGAGTCTACCACAGAGGGCCTCCGAAAGACTCAACCCTGCAGGGTATCAAAGCAGATGCTGAGACTCTTAGCCAACTTTGGGCAGAGTGCAGGGAATCTTATGAAAGAAGGGGGAGATAGAAAGACCTGGAGGGGACAGGAGCTCCACAAGGAGACCAACAGAACCAAAAAATCTGGGCACAGGGCTCTTTTCTGAGACTGATACTCCAACCAAGGACCATTCATGGCAATAACCTAGAACCCCTGAACAGAAGTAGCCCATGGCAGCTCAGTGTCCAAGTGGGTTCCCTAGTAATAGGAACAGGGACTGTCTCTGACAAAGAGCCAACTCAGTGGCTGGCTCTTTGATCACCTCCCCCTGAGCTGGGAGCAGCCTTACCAGGCTACAGAGGAAGACAATGCAGACAGTCCTGGTGAGACCTGATAGGCTAAGGTCAGATAGAAGGGAAGGAGGACCCCCCCATCAGTGGACTGGGGGAGGGGCATGGGAGGGAGAAGAGGGAGGGAGGGTGGGAGTGGAAGGAAATGAGGGAGGGGGCTACAGCTGGGATAGAAAGTGAATAAATTGTAACTAATAAAAAATCAATAATTTTTGTTTTTTTAAAAAGAAATTCTGAAGGAATTACTTTAAGACCACAAAGAAGTCCCTCCCCGAGGCACACCTGAGCACAGTAAGAACCACAAATGCCCATGGCATCAGAAGACACACACAAATATGCCACCAAAGATGACAATGAGCAGACATAAACTTAAGCATATTTGATAAGTTAAGTAAATAGAATAGTATCCGTAAGATCCGTGATAGTTCTACTTACTAACAATGAATACTTTTAATGCAGATTTAAAAATTGCCACTTGCTTTCAGGCAGCGTATATGGGAACATGCAGGAACATGCACGCACACTCACCACAACTGTTTTTTCTATCCCATAACACCAGGTTAAGAAAGTAAAAAAAAAAAAAAAAAAAAAAAAAAGACTTTTAACAAAATGGAAACTAGAGCTGCTCAGGGTTACCTGTGTTCATTTTTTTAAAGCAGCTTGAAATATGAGAACTAGAAATAAGAAGACAGGACGCATGGAGGTGGATGTGAAGAGACTTAGCGTGTAGTTAGTTACAGACACCAACTACAGACAGACCTGAAGGGAGGTAAAATAAAAAGATAAGAACCAAGACCTTTTTTGAGATAGGATTTCACTCTGTGGCCCTCGCTGGCCTCAAACTCACAGAGATCTGCCTTCCTCTGCCTCTAGTGTGCTCTGATTAAAGGTGTGCACCATGCCCAGATGGACAAAGTATTTTAAATACATGTCAAAGCCATGGCTCTTTAGTTAGAAGAAACGCGCTCTGGAGCTGTGAAGAGACGTTGTGATGGTTGGTTCTTGTCAACTTGACACATACCTAGACATATCTGTGAGAGCAGTGTTAACTGAGACAGGTCGACAGTGAATTTTCTTGATTAACAATTAATGTGGGTGAGCCCATCTCACGGCAGTTGGGGAGTGTTGCTCCTGGTCAGGTGATTGTGAGTTGTGTAAGAAAGCAGGCTGAGCAAGCCATGAGGAGCAGGACAGTAAGCAGCGTCCCTCCATGGCCTCTGCTTCCACTCCTGCCTCGAGATTTCTGCCTTGAGTTCCTGCCCTGAGTTCCCTTAGTGGAGGAGTGTAAGCTGAGAGTTGTAAGATGAAATAAACCCTTTCTTTCCCAAGTTGCTTTTGGTCGTGGTGTTTTATCACAGCAAAAGAAACCGTAGCTAAGACAGGTGAGCATATTAGTAAATGAAAGAAGGTTCTGAAAGGCTCTCTACAGTATGAGTCCAGGTATCTGGCAAGAAAAAAAAAAAAAACAGTTATCAGTGCTCCCTTCTTGTGTGCTTACCTGCAGAATGGCAGGAAGGTGATCTGCTGTCTTTGTGGTTGCTAATGGCCTCGTTTTAACTCAATTGCCTCCACAAAGACCCCCTGTCCAAATAAGCTCACATTATAAGGTCATTAGAATTAGGGCTTCTACATATTTTTTGAAGGGAACCAATTTAATCCAGACAATTCCAAAATTGGCAAAACTTTTGTAAATGCAAAACAAATTGATGATGACAGATGTGAGGGGTTGTTGAAACTATAAAACAACAGCAGAAAAGTGCACCTCTACGCTGCTAGTGCATGCTGTAGCTTGAGCACGGTGGCAGCTCATTCACTGACCTGGCTAAGATGCCAGGTCCATGTCCTGATTTTGATATTGTGCTCTAGATATGTACTGGGGAGAACAGATGGCTACACGTGGGCCTTCCTGAGACTCCTGACAACTTGTTGTGAAGTGATGTTTCAAGACGAAAGTACAATGTATGTGGATTTATTTTTTAGAAAAATGTAATATATATACATGAATATACTCCTACTAAGATACATAATATGTTAGTTAATTTTCTGTTGCTGTGAGAAAACATTATCAGTAATGCAACTTCTGGAAAGAATGATTTGTTAGAAATTATAGTTCCAGAGGGAGAGGAACCCATTATCACCATGACAGGGAAGTTTGACATCAGGCAGGCATGGGAACTGAAGCAGTCAGCTGGGAGCTCACATTTAAACCACAAACAGGAAGCAGAAAGGGTGAACTGGAAATGGCATAGAGTCTTTGGACTCTCAAAGCCCACCCCCAGTGACACACTTCCTCCAACAAGGCCACACTTCCTCAAGCTAGTGCCACCCGCTGGGAACCCAGCATTCAACAGCCTGAGACTGTGGGAGACAGTCACTCAAGTCACCACACATAATAGTTTCAGAAGACAAAAAGAAGGTCCTGCAAACTTTGAGAGAAGTAGCAATGCCTTCAAAACTGAAGCAAAGAGTTTTAACCAAGATGTCTAAACCCAACTCTGCTGGCTAGCTGTTTTTACTTTGGTTGGTTGGTTGGTTGGTTGGTTGGTTGGTTGGTTGGTTGGTTG